GACGGGCTGTCGATTGGTTACTTAAGCATCTTAAATGTGAACGAAATCATGGGTAGTAAATGAATAATTTAAAAATAAAATTATCAAGTGAAACTTTAATCATATAAAAATTCATCATACATTATGAAAAAAATATTTCCACTGTCATTAAATACCCTATTATAATAATAATAGAATAGATACGGTCTGTAGTTTACGCGAGTAGTTCCCTTTTTAAATAAAACACTTCAGCTGCTTAAAACGAGAAATATATTTCGAATTGGTATTATTAATAACAACTACGACGGAATAGATGGCAGTTTTTATTTTGACATTAAAGGCACCCTCCATATTTAGTCTCCCCGCGACCGCGGCTGCTGCAAAGCATTCTAAAAGTCGGGCCGTAGATAAAATATTTTTCAAATATGTTTAATTAATATATTCCACGTTTTAAACTGTTAAAGTGTCTATTTAAATAATAGAATAAGATTTTCCGTATACATCGAGCCATGAAATTTACTATGTAATACGTATCATTACGTAGGTTGTATTAAATAGTTAACAACATGCGCAGGAGTAAAATTTAATTACATCTTGACATTGGGATCAAATGCTTAAATTGTGATGATCACGTCACTTTATATTCAATTATTGACAAAGCTATTACATGACGTCATAGGACGAAATACAGTTTTCCTTTTATATGGGTTTTCCTTAAATATTGTAATTAAATTGCTATATACAACACCCTCCTTCTTTTTAGACTAATTAAAGAAAGATTCTCTTCAAAATCTTATAATTCGTTCTTGAAAGTAATCATCAATCCTCCATAATCATCTTCGCATATATAGTATAGTAGAATATGATGTAACTCTTAAAAAATAAATAAATATGCTAAACGTCGACACATCTTAAATGCCTAAATAGTAGTGCGTCTGAGTATTGCCTTAAGTGGAAGATTTCCTGGGTTCGAATCTCGAAAAACAAAATAGTTTTGGTCGGGTAGGACACACTCTGATCAAATACTTGGTGAGATCAAAAATTGGGTTTTACTGCTTTCTTGTTACACTTATAACTATTTACGAGTACAATACAAAAGTTTTTTTTTATATTATAGGTACCTACATCTAAAAATATTTGAGGTTAAAATGAAAGTTATTTTCTCCATACCGAGTTTAGGAAAGCGACCTCAGCTGGAAATGTTAATTCAAAATAGGGCCGTCAAAATCTTATTTAACTTTGTTAAATAAAGTAACAAAAATTTAACTTTGCTCTATAGGTTTTTAAAAGCAAAGTTTGTACTTTTTTTAATAAACTATAGCTTAAAAAGATAAACGGCACAAGAACAAGAGACTTAAAGAAGATATTTACTAAATCGAGATCTTGTTAATGTTATAATATAATGTGGTTATATAAATTATGAAAGATTAAATAAAACTCATAAATATATATATTTAATTATCATTGAATGTTACTCGTAATAAAGTACAAATAAGTTCTTAACTGTGCTCTTAACATCACATTAACTTTTTTCAATGTAAATATATTTTCAATTTATATAATACCATCATGTGCAAGAACATGTGAAGATTATTCAAGTTTTGCTACTTTTTCTACGTGTATTATTATGATTGTTTTTAACAAAAAAGTTTTGAAATACCGACAATAAGATGTCGTGAAATACTTAATGTCCTATTTATGAAATTTTCTTTTTATGACATTGACAGCCCTACAGTATAACTCTAAAATGGTTTCCAGTTAAGGTCACACATCTCGCTTAACTGATAGCTAGCCCCGACAGTTTTAGCTGAGGTTTTTACATCAAAATTGGAAAATCGTCATTTTAAATATTGAATTTAACCTTTGTGAGTATTTTTTTAACATCCGGTCCATCATGGTGTTTGTATACTTTGTAGTTTCGTTGGCTTTGTCAGTCAGTTTTTGTATCGACAATATCTCTAGCAGCCATTAAAAAAGAATAAAAGCAGAATTAAACATTAATAGCTTATAATTAAACTATACTATTATTTTATGGGTCCTAATAAAAGGGATTTTATTTAAGGTAAATGTCTACTATTTAATTATACTTTGTCTAAACTTAAATACATGTGTTAAGTTATACTATACATTTTGTAAAATATATTTAAATCACGCGCCACCTAGATCCCCTACGAGGGCTACACTATTCTACGAGTTGTAAATAACAAGCCACTCCAAAAATCTAACAGATGGCGTTGAGTTACCAGAAGTGTTGAGATTTCAAAATAAGAGATGGCGCTTTAACCAAGGATAGATACAAAAACAGTGCGTTTCAGGGAAGAAAACATTACTAATAATAAATGTTACATTACAGTGTAATAGAGCAGGTCATTGAAATGAACTTAGGAATTTAAAATATATATTTAAATATAAATCAAATTTATATTTTTAAATTTACCAACTAAGAAAAATGTATTTTAATTTCATCATAAAAACTTTAATGGAACGACTGTGTTTAAAATACGAAATAGTGTTAGTGCTAAGGCATTTTAATTTATATTCTACAAGTGAAGTTATTGTGTGAATTTGCTCAGTTTGATAAAATCGCCATTAATGATTGAGCTACACTACTCCCGCTGTACCAGGATAGGACGGGACGTTTTGAATAACTCGGAACATAGTCTGCTACAGGTAAGAGTAAATTATCTGGAATTTTTATAAAACAGATTTTATTCCCTTATAATAACACTCTCGCCGAATGAAGTAGCGTTTATAATATGCGGAACCCGGAGGATATCCTCGCTTGTTATATGATAATTTGAATAACATTCTACATAAGCATGTGCCTAGAAAATCTAATGCGATAAATTATAAATAAGGTATTTTCGTATTTTTTCTTGGTATGTCTTATACGGTATTATTGTGTATAATATACTGATAATAGTAAACAGACATTTTTAATTGCACCTCTTGTATGTGGGTTGGATGTATGACAGGTTTCAAATAAATAAAAATTATTTTTCACTCGATTATTTTACAATTGATTGCGTTCGAGAAACTTTTTGCGTTTTTGATCATGCATTTACTCATACAGTGTATACACAATCCCTAACGTTCATTTTTTAAACATCATGCGGGTAGATGACAAAAGTATTGTTCGGTTCATTAAGTAAGTGAGTGTTCGTGTATATTTTTTTGCGAATAAATGTTAATCTTAAACCTCAATAAGATTAAAAAAAACTCTGAAGCTTCAACTGAAACTTGGCTCCACAATACTCATATAACTAAGTATTCCCTTTGACTAACTTCGCTTGTTACTTTCGTCTGTATTTCAGTTCCCCGGAAATATTACACGTGAATTTCCGTTTGCGGTCTCGTTGGCTCGAAATGTTAAATTATCTACATGTTAGCTTGGGTGACATTTTAAATTTTCCGTAACCCCAGGATTGTATTCAGTGCATACGCCTCTTGTGAGGCTTTAGTTTGACATAGATTACAATGCGCGAATTATATTGGTTATAGATTTATAAGCTTTTACTAAATTATTATTATGTTCTTGTTTTTATGCTATATAGAAAAACAAGACTACTGATAATTTAAAAAAAGAAAATAATAACTTTAAAATATAAAAATGACGAGTCTCTACAGACCTTTTTTTAGTTAATTTTCACAAGACGGCGTTATTTTGATCTAATTACTTATTTACACTGTATAAACAATAGAGTGCTTGGTTCCCATCTTCGCCTGTGGGGCATGGGGCGAACACATTTCTGTATCCGTTTCACTGAACGGTTTTTTTATTTACAGGCAAGTATTTATACTTCTGTACCATGCCCGACCGAAACAATCTATAGTCTCGGGGAAAGGCTATTATATTATAATAAATATAAAATTTACAATCAACTGAGAACACTTCATGCACTAAATGTATCGGTTTGAATAAATAATATTTTTCTATAGATGTAGAAACGTCGTGAACCTACACACACCCGCCCTAGTTTACTTAGCGGCAAATGTTCGAAATAAGTTCCCAAATAACTTGTCTTATCCCAAACCGTCCCAAATAGACAGTTCGGATTGCTTTCAAGATGAAAATATATTTCTGAAGCAATTTTATTTCCTAATGTTAAACTACCTACCATTTTGAATTGGAGGAAAAGGTAACCGTGAAGCTTAATTAATAATTGAAGAGCTCTCTTTTGTTAAGAACTTCTTTTACCAGTAACCTAATAATGAGAAGAAGTGCAAATTAAAAGAAATTATATATATTTTTAGGTCTTTCACATTCTACCTCAATAATTCTAAACACGTAAAAACTACTTATTTTTACCATACATTGAATAAAATATATATAAATACTGTCAGTAGTTTACGCGATATATACATGTTAAACTTAGGTAACATTTTTTAAAATAAGGTTAACTAATATATATCGCCGTATTTTAAACCGTTAGAGTATTTATTTAAAATATATATAATTCGGTCCATTTAAATTTTTGAATTCAGAACAAGTCTGGATGGTTACTACTAGACGCCATTGAACATATTATTACAGTATTATGCAGGCTTATTACAATATTTGTACTAAATTTGATTACCATAAAAACGGTTCTTGTGAGATAATAATAATAATGTTGAACCAAAGACGTATACTGTCGCGGACTTAGATTATTTAAAAAGAGTTTATTCTTTTTTATACATTTCTTCGTTATCGTGAACCATTTTCGCACTTCGAACCAGTGATTTCTGAGAAGAGCGCGTTCAAACAAACAAACAAAGTCTTAAGCTTTATAATATTAGTATAGATGACTTTTACTCCTAAATTGTTTCTATCTTCTGTAAACGATTTCATGCAAGAGATCGTCATAGGTCGCCTTTACGCTAACTTGTTATGTAAATTAGTTATTTAGTAGTAATATTATTTTTTGTGCAATAAAGGGTTTAATTACGTTTATCTTTATGATGTCCAGCATACTACTATTACATTTTAATGGCGTAACGCCGGCACTCAAGCAATCTAAGAGTAGAGTCCTAGATGAGTCTTAGATGGAGGGAAAAAGTTTCACAATATCCACTTGTTCTTTCAACTGACCTTTCCTTTTCCTATGTAATGGCGAATTAGCTGGAGTGTGGTCTGAACTGTGGTCGTATTCTGTGCCGCTGCTGTCCGCTCCTGGTGCCACAGATAATATTGTGCCAGCCGGACATCTCTCACGACTTTTACTTCGATGCCAACGGTTCTAAAAAATGGAGTAAAACGATATAATTGTCGTGCATCTTTATTATTAGGTATAAATGTTATTGAATGTACTGCTTTATTTTTGGTTTAAAAGTACTATCATTTATTTAGTCCTAGCTGTGCCATCGACTTCGTTCGCGAGAATCGCTATTCTATGCATAATTTCAATTTTCCAATAACTTCAACTGTTACCCACGACGTCGGTCGCGTCCCTTCGCGTCGTTCTTGTAAGTTAATCTTAAAAGATAGACATATAACGTCGCGGACTTTTTTTTAGATCATTTAAACAGGAATCATTCTTTCATACAATTTTTTTGGGTTGATGGAAGGTGTTTTCACAGCGCACGCCTCGGAAGCCCTTAAAGGTATAATAATTGTCCCGGTTTCTAATGGTCATACTCTGAAGTTTTATAATTTAAAGCCTTCCTCAATAACTGCTTATGAAGAATTTTTCAATTTTAAAAGTTAGGCGGGTTTAAACAAACAAACTCTTTGTCTTTACATATTAGTTATAGAGAAGGTTATATTTATTTAATGCGCAAACGTGACACATACATGACAATTTATATTCTACTTTGAATGAAAAAAAGCACTGCCTTAAGTCTTTATTTCGTCATGTTTTCTTTTCAACTAGGCACAGCTGTAAATTATTCCCGCCAAGATAATTTTTCTCACGTCCCAATGAATAATTTATTTTTCTCTCTTCTTTTTGCATCTCATATCTGTAATATTTTTGTTTTGAGTTTCCACAGACTGTACATATAAATTGTATTATTGGAACTGTTACAACCCTTTGTTTGCTATTAATTTCGTAAACCGAAAGTTTTTATTAGATTAACTGTAGGAAAACTCTGTTAAACAACTGTTGTAGGTGAACTTGAAAATTAAATTCTTTTTACCAATTATTATTACAAAAGAACACATATTAACGGTTCCAAGTGGTTGGAAACGTCGCAACGAAGTTAAAAATAAATTAACTAACTTATTTCGTGTTTTAAACCGTTAAAAGTGTTTATTCAAACCTTAAAAAAAACTTGTATCTATCTAAAAATCAATATTTGTGACTTTATATAAACTTGTACCTACAATAAGAAGTAGATATAGTATATTATTAATGCACTCAATATAAATAGGTTTAATATGAACGTACAGTCGGATGCTATATTCTTTTATATTCCATAATATCCTATTTAGGGATTCATTTAATGGTAGGAGAAAGACTCCATCCATATAAAATCTAAACAAGATGCGCTGTCGATCTATTTTGACTTTGGATATTTGGAAATCCACAGACTGAAACCCAATCGTGATTAAACTTGACGGCTTTTTCATCTGTGGACGGTGGTTTGAAACCCGGACGGAATTTATATATTCCTACCACCCATTTTATATACAGAACACATTGGATTAAAAAATGTTGAATCCGGTGAAGATCGAACCCTCGATCGGTTGATTATTGGCCATACATTGCACCAACAAGCTCGTCGAATATTTTTGCCTTAATATCTTTTGACAAACTACTTTAATATTACTGCACTCGACTATACATTTAGTGCGTGAGGTCACCGTAATTACTTTTAAACCTCAAGCTTTTATGTCATTGTTGGAAGTTAACCCCGAAGCCCAATTATAAGTTGATTTATAAGCTTGTACTAAGAACGGAATACTTTTGTGGGATTTTACATAGAAAAAGTTTTTTTATTCATTTAAGGAAGAAACTTATCAGAAACACCAAAATAATATAATTTGATTGTATTTTTTTATTACAATAGAAGTAAGGTTTGTTGGGCGTCGATAATCTATACTAATATACAAATCTTAAAAGTTTTGTTTGTTTGTTTGTACGCCCTAATCTCAGGAACTACTGGTTCAAGTTAAAACAATCTTTTTGTGTTGGTTAGAACATTTATATTATAGAAAGGCTATAGTTATAGAACATTGCGCTATGACAAATAGAAGCAAAGAAACAGCGAGAAATGTGGAAAAATGGGGAAATTATTCATCTCTGTGGTCTTCCGATGCGTACGCTGTAAAAACGGTTCAAGAAACCCTAAAGAATATGATCTAAAAAAATTATTACTTTTTATATATTATGTATAAACATATAAAAATGTCCGCGACACTATATGTCTATCTTTTGAGATTTACTTCCAAGAACGGTAACAGCTTAAATGTATAAAAATAAAAGGGAGATTTACAAAATCAAACATGATGTTCAAAATTCCAAATTCTATTTTACGCGGACGAAGTCGCTGACACAGCTAGTAGTATATAATGCTTAACACAAGACTACGACTATTACTAAGTGTTTACGCTAGTTATATTGTTCGAGTTTTCAACAGTTAAAAAGTTTACAGCTCCTCTATACTTGCACATGATGGCACTATATACATTTAAAATTGAGTAAAAAAAATTTACGACACGGGCAGGACGTCCTGCCCGCGTCGTAAATTTTATTCAATCTAAAATCGATTTTTTACGTATACAATCAAAAAGTATTCATTATTCATAATTTGTATTTTTTTTGTCCACAAGCACGGTAAAGGTCCTTGAAGCGGCGTGTTAACAGCGTAGCAACTTTCAAACGCTAAAGTTACTTTTATCTGTGGAATTTGTTGAGCAAATTTCGCACAAAATTAGAAGCACTTACTTAAACGAGGCTCGAGGTGTATTCTTGTTTGTGCTTATTTCTTTATTTTGCGGTGTTATTGTTTTGTGTATGTTTTTCACTATGTTTACCATTTCGGGTTTAAAGTAATAATAAAGTTAAAAAGTAAAACATGTATGTAAAGATGGTTCAAGCGTTTTCGCTGCGTACGCATCGAATGTTTCATTTCGAACACGTAGTTCCAGACATTAGCGCGTTCAAACATACAAACAAACTCTTCAGCTTTATATCTTAGTATAGATGACTATTAAACACTTTTTAACGGTTTTAAACTACATAAGTTGCGTTAACTCTTATAGTCTTATATACTGGGTGTCTTTATACCATAAATAATTAAATTCGGTTGCCAGTGCTTTTTGTAGGCTTGTGTTAAGATATTGACTTTCTCTTGGCCATAAAAAGTGCAAACATACAGGATAAGCATTTAAAGCCAAAAATTATAATTTACTATAAGAGGCAATATCAAAACGAAAACTTGACGTTGGACGAGATAGATTTAAATGTCGGTGTTATTTTGATTTATATTTCTGATAATTCCCCCTAGTTTGGATTAGAATCCTATTTATGGACCACATAGTTATCATACCTTTAAGTTGCTAAAAAAGTGATGCGTTCTATGTACAACGGAAAGTGGTGTATGGTGATGAGCGGAGCGGGCGCGGGGCGGAGACGCCTGCACTGGGGCCGAACATGATAACTCCGATGCTGATTTCGACAGCCGTCCGCTGAGGGCTTCTGAACGCTCTGAAATGTTAAAATTAGACTTAAAATTTAAAAAAACATATACATTTGCCTACTTTAAGAGAACTGCTGTAAAATTATCTGTCTCTAGCGCAGTTAACAAAAGCTTACATTGGAAACTTTGGTGCAAATAAAGTAAAAAAAAGATAGAGCTGACATACTGTCTATAGTTTATGCGAGTACATGTAGTATTATGTGTACATATTTAAAGTGTTTTACTTTAACGGTTTAAAACGCGATATATAAGTTAAACTTATTTGAAAATGATTTTTAAACTCAGCCCGACGTTTCGGATGCTTTGCAGCAGCCGTGGTCATGGGGAGACCCCGGGCTCTCCCCGTACCTCACATATCACATGCATAAGAGTATCGTGGTCATTATGTAATGTTATTTGATTTAAAGCTGTTCGGCCATCGTTATTGAGAAACGATGTTTGACGTTATGCCATCACGATTAAATGCCATTTTTAAGAGATTTTGAACGTTCCGCAACTAAGCGACGTCGAGAACCATTTTTCATTTCCACCACCATTCCATCAATTAGCTTTATTAACTATTTTTATTATTATTTACATAATAGAACACATAGTCGTGCCCATGACTTTGTCTGCGTAGAAATAGCTAGTATGGGCATCAAAAATTTATTTTGCAACTTCCTGCATAAATGGTCTAACCAACACAATGGTATTTTTTAAAATTCAAAACAGCCGTTCCTGAGACTAGTTCGTCCAAACAAACAAATTCTGCATCTTTATAATATGACTTACATTTGACTACTAGAAATACTTGGTTAAAAAAGATATAAAGAAAAGCCTTGACCGATTTATTCATTGATATTCAAAGCTTTCTCGATTCATTTACTCTTTGAACCCGCTCGCTCGTACAATATACACGACCCTCGTGCCAATTAGTACATCGAGCAAATAGAGTTCGCGTGACCCCATTGCTATAAACCGGCAAATTGTAATAGGCATGCGAACATGAGTGGAATACTTAATATCGAGTCCCATTTTTCGTAGGCGTGTAAGGGAGTTTCGTTTTTCAGTGTCCGTCCGTTTAAATCAGAATGTTTACGTTTGTATTGATAGTGGATTTAGTATAAGGATATAAAACATAAACTCTCTCAATCTTATCAATCATAAAGGGCCCAATCACTACATTGCTTTGACCAACCAAAAATCCTCAAAATCGATTTTTTCCAAGATTGGTACCGAACAATTGAAATCAAAAAACACCGAAATTTCAATAGGGAGGACGGCCTCAAACTATCAAACACCTGGGATCCCATATTAAAAACTCTGATCCCAATAAACAGCATACCAGCAAACGCGAAGAACCGTTAGTCAATTCTGTAAGACCGCCAGTTTCGCCAAATACCAACTTGACGGAAAGATGGGCTAGCGTAGCAATTCTTTACTTTGAGTCTGAGACATCCTCCATCTTTAGTCTCCCCGTGACCACGGCTGCTGCAAAGCATCCCGAAACGTCGGGCCGAATTAAAAATCATTTTCAAATAAATTTAACTAATATATCGCGTTTTAAACCGTTATTTTATTTAGTAATTCTATTAGATCTTACACATTCATACTAGAAAACCATCACACCACTGAAAATGTCTGACAAAATAACGACAAAATAATTACTTTAAAACTTTATGTGTGAAATTTTAATTGTAGCTTATTTATTTATTTTTTTGTATGTTACTTTATAATTTTGTTTGTGTACTTCGGTTTGGAATAAATTGTTTTAATTTGAAAACACTACAAATATTTTTCGTTTTAATTAAGCACAGGCCTATGTATATATACATAAGTCTGTGCTTCTTAATAAATAAATATGTGATGTTGAAGATTTTGCTTCAGGATTTTTAAGACAATCTGAAAAACACTGTCGCCGTTTTTGAATATAACTTAAATTATTAGATTCAGTGTTACTTCGCATAGTGTATTGTTGGGTTCAAATATTTCTTTACCTATCTTGTACAGTTAAGGAGTTTGTTTGTTTTTCGAACGCGGTAATCTCAGGATAATGTAATGTAATGAGATTGTTAGTAATGAGTAATGGTTCGAATAAGACTGTGACCAAATAAAAAGGCTTCCATGCTCTGTGAAAACGAGAAGGAATCTAGATACTATGTATGAAAGAATGATTTTTCTTTAAATTTCCAAATTAACTCTTTGCGAATTAAGTTGCGGGCTTAGCTAGTTCAATAGTAATTATATAAGTTAGTTCTTAAAGCAACGTAGAGTTCGTAGGTTCTAGTCTCGCCCATTAAATCATCATTTTTCAATCTGTAACACAATGAATTTGCAATATTTCAAAAGTTTTGATGGACACGACTTCTTCAATAAAAGTTATTATTAGTATTGATTATTTCGAATGAAGCCACGATTTAAATGAAGTCTCGAATTGGACGTTGAACTTTTAACGGCTATATTGGAGTGTCGAAATTCCCAGCCAAGTAATTTCTTCATTTCGTAACTTTGACAATAAATCAACATAAAATTTTATGCTTTTCACACGTAATATACTTGTTATACTTTACTTTACTATTTAGGTATTCGACAATCCCTGTAATGGTTTAGATCTTAGCCTATATCATCGTTGTTGTGAATTTAGCGCTGCAAGGGCATTCAAATAAACAAACTATCAATATTCATTTAAGTAAACATATTTTACAGTTTAAATGCGATATATATGTAATTTATAATTTAAACTACTATATATAGCTTATATAGCGAATAGCAGGGTGTATAGATTTCCTATTATTCATACGTTTTATTTTGGAATTCATTAAAAAAATATCGATAATAAAAATTCAATAATCGATAACAAAAGCGGAAGAGAAAAATATTTCCCTTGACGGTGAAAGTGTTAAATGTCCACATGTGCCAGCACTGACAGAATGCAACCCATATTTTTGTCTCTTAATATCCATATTAGAGGCCCCAAAATCAGCCCTAAGCCGTCTAATACCCGATCCCAAGAACTGACTTTTATTACCCTAGAGGTGGTTTTATGAGGCAGAAACAGAGCACAGAATATTTTGCTTATATATACGTATCTTCGCGCCTTGAATCCGGTAAATCTATTTTTGTTAGGATTCTAAGTAGCTTTTTACAGTTACTTCACTATGAACAAATTTCTAAATATATACAACTTATCATAAATATAATATTAAAATGCAATACAATTTTCCTAAATATATTGATATTTTTTTATGTAGGACAAACAAGCATGAGGACTACGATCGTTTCAATCTGTGGTTTGTCATCCACAAGAAATTTCGATATTCCTACCACCCATTTAAAACCAGGTTTTCCAAACGAAGTCTGATATGGCTGAACAATTGAAAATACATTTAAATAAAAAACTTTAACGGTTTAAAACGCGATATATTAGTTAAACTTATTTGAAAATGATTTTTAACTTCGGCCCGACGTTTCGGATGCTTTGCAGTAGCCGTGGTCACGGGGAGACAAACGTCGGGCCGAAGTAAAAAAAAACATTTTCAAATAAGTTTAACTAATATATTGCGTTTTAAACCGTTAAAGTGTTTTATTTAAATGTGTACTACTCGCTAAACTATAACAGTATTTAATGATTTTTAACTTCGGCCCGACGTTTTTGATGCTTTGCAGCAGCTGTGATAGCTGTGTGTGTGTGTACTACTCGCGTACTATAGACAGTATTTAATGAAAATAAGAGAAAGTGGTTAGAATTGAACCCGGGACCTCTTCAGCCCGTCACACTGTGTGATACGAAACAAGGCAAACAACATCGATCGAAGTTTTAAAAACATTTTCCTTATAAAAGTGTACACCTGCAATCATTTGCAAAACTGTGTAAAGATTCACGCTAATTAAAACTTTTATCGTTATTTATTCCAAACGAGTACTTCGAAGCAAATCGAGGAAATTAAAATTCCTAAATAGCAACACCGAATCGTGTTTTTATAAATATAACGACATAAAACCTTTTTATTACCTTCATCAATTTAAACCTTGCAAACGGGAGTTAAGGCGCTTTCAATTTTTTATTTAAGACTTAATGTATCGTCTAGAAGGCCGCGTTTACGCTGATGAAGGCATGTTTTTTTAAAAGAAAGCGTACGTACGGTAAATACTAATGTACAACTATATAATATTAAATGGTTTTCACCCGTTCAGAACTCGAAATATATTTCGGGAAATATTTTTAACTGCCGATGATTTTTGACGCTGCTGTTATACATTTGAAACATTGGGTCGTAACAAAAATAAATTATTCACCTTTGAGGGATTATAATATGGGGGGGGGGGGGAAATATACATGAAAGAATTGTTCTTCTTTAAATAATCTAAAAAATGTCTGCGATGTACATGTCTATTTTAGTCAGCTTAAAGTTAATATTAATCATCTTTGAAATAAAAGACTTTAACGGTTTAAAACGCGATATATATTATCTAAACTTATTTTGAAAAATATTTTAACTCACTCCACGGAGAGACTGACCACAAGGGAGACCACGGCTGCTGCAAAGCATCCGAAATGTCGGGCCGTAGTTAAGAATGATTTTGAAATACGTTTATCTGATATATATATATATATATAGTTTTAAATCGTTAGTGTTTTAATTTAATGTGTACTACTCGCGTAAACTTCAGACCTTCTTTCGAGAAACCTATTTAATTTTCTCTTACCTACGATTTATATTATTAACTCGCCCTTTCAAGAACTATGTATTTAAGATCAGATTAGTTATTAATAATGCAGTGGAGCTCTGTACATAGCTTGGCCAGAGGATCAAATGTGTTTTTGATAAGATATTTTATTCATGTGAACTGGGATTGCTGGTCCAGAGAAATTTAATTTATCTGTATTTAACTGATTCAGATATGATATTAAATATTGTTTCGCTTACTTTTACGTTAGTATTAGGTTTTTTATAAGATACTATGACTAGACGTTGAACAAACTATAGACATGCCAACATATAAATCTATGGTCTAAGAACTGCCTCCATGTTTAAATGGTACACTCTTTCTTGAAAAAAGCGTGAGAGAACCATTTTCCACGGTCTTTGAATAAGCTAACATAAATACTTTAGGTCGGGCATAGAAGTTGGGTCAACAGCAAAATTTTGTGGCCTATTGTGTTATTACTCTACATTTAAAAGCGAATCTCGGGTATACAAATTGGCACAGTACTTATGTACTTACGTTACAGTACGTACTCCAAATATCCAAAGCTAAAATAAGATGTTTGGATGTCATTTTGGGTATTTCCTATTAAGTGAGACCCTTTGCGCGTCTGTCTACCTCTATCATTAAAAAATATGTTTTTCTTTGTTTGTCTATCGGCAAGCTTTACACTAAGACAAGTAATTTTTACAATGCTTGTGTATCATGTGAATGAATGTTTGTTAAATGATGATGATGATAAAAATAAAATATACTTTATTCTCTATAAAATTTAAATAGTTATTACATTCGTCAATTTTTTTTTGTTTGTCTGTCTGTTCGTCGTGATTCTATAGAGTGTTCAAAAGAGCAACATAACTAAGAAGAAAACCCAAGAAACTCAGTCCGGCTTTTTTAAATATGTCTTATGAACTAATACATTTTTCTAAATTTATTAACAGGAGCAATCAATATTACTGCCAGGCGGTCTTGTCATTAAAGAAATCGTTCAGACAATAATACGCCTTTTGAGACAATCTGAATTTTATAACTTGATGGTGTGATAAAGCAGATTTGGATGAATGATGATCTGTGCTTAATACTCATTTCGGCTATTTCTTAATAACAATATGCTTATAACATTTTATTTTAAACCATTGACTGCTTTGAGTGCGTTTGTTTAACACGCCATCGCGTGTTACCTTATAATTAACCCCTTGACACGGTATTTTTGTATTTTTATTATAGCTTATTAACAGTTATTATTATTATTTTTATTTAGTTGTCACAAGACATTATAAAACACCAGTATCAAATTATCCTCTTGAAATTGCTACAGTTTGGAACGATGCACGTTTATTTACACTTGCGGCGTAACTGGACTTGGTATAATTTTTAAGACTATCATGATTACACTCAAAATTGCCTAGGAAAAGACATTATTTGGAAAACTTTACAAATTGGATTTCGTCTTATGATGTTTCTTATCGCAACGCACGTAACGGACATCCTCAAAGATAAATAATTTTCCCCGTTGTTTCTACATTTTCCACTTCTTTACTTCTATTGGTCTTAGCCTGGTGTATTAAAGCCTAGAATTTAGATAATTTGGACCATTTTAAGGTTAGGTAGATATCTAACCCTAAAAATCTATATTATTAACTCTTTATTAAATGGTCCAACCAACGCAAAAAAAATCAAATGAGTAGTTCCTGAGATTAGGACGTTCAAACTAACAAACTCTTCATCTTTATAATAAATATAGAAACATGGAAGCGGTCAGAGAATTTTTGGAGCGAAATCCTACTCAACTCCGTTACGCACAAACAAAGAACGTAAGCGGATTAGTTTTGTTGAACAATTTTCACAAAGGAATTCCGAAAGCATTCGAATTATTTTTGCACCATACAAGAGTAGCGCTAACATAATGGAAAAAGTAATTACGAAAAATTCTTGGAAAATCGTATAATTGCGAATAGTAATTTCCGCCCGGAACTAATGTAACTGAAAATTAAAAGATTGGAGATTTTTACTCTAGTTTACTCTTTTCTTTTTACGTATTATGTTTTTAAAACCGACTGCGGTGAATCCAAAAAGACTTTTTAATCCTATATTTTAGCTTCGGATATCGGATCCAACGAGTGAAAACAAAGCGTGATATCACTTCACGGCTCTTTTCTTTGTGGACGATGCTCTATGAAATGGACGAACCATGTAATATCAAAATATTCTTTAAGGACTTACAAATGTTTAAATAATTAAAAACATATGGGACCCGATAGAGCTCAAAACCACGACCCGTTGATCATTAGCCTTACAAACACACAAAGTACCCATCGACCAGACGAATCCATTAAAAATATCCACAAAAAAAAACGATTTACGTGGTTAAGTTTTGCAATTCACTTACACCCGTCTATTTTTAAGAGTTTAATAGAGTAAAAATACTAAGCCTATACTTTACGTGAGTAGTACACATTTAAATAAAACACTTTAACGGTTTAAAACGCAATAAATGAGTTAAACTTATTTAAAAATTATTTTTAACTCTAGAGACAGTCTACCTGTGACCACGGCTGCTAATATATCGCATTTTAAACAGTATTTTAGTTTAATAGAGTATATTCATATTCATAGAAACAAAGCCTGGAAGAGATCACTGCTTAGCGCATAAGATTTTTCCTCATTTATGTGTATTTTCTGTGGTGTGTTTTATAAATAATAAAGCAATAATAAATAAAAAAATAAAATAAAAATAATTATTTTAATATGAACCTCATTTAGAGAACAGGACATTTTTGTTTTGCACAGTTGTAAGTAAAATGGTTTATTGTAATTTTTTTTTAATAAATAATAAAGTTATGGAATAGCCAGTCCTCCTCATTATATCTTTGTTTCAAATGATGCGTCGTTTCGTAGCATCGTTAAAAACGCTACGAGTAAAGAATTAAAAAGAGATAAAAGAATTATCTGTCTCTTACTTTCAATTAACAGCTAATGTTCTGTTTGTTTGTTTAAGCTTAACTTATATCGGAAATAAAGGCTTAAATAACTGTTTTAACGTTTGTGAGTGTCGCTGAAATTCCGTTTTTTTAATATAGAGGAGGACAGACAACCTAGCAATCCCCAAATATAAGCTATAAAATAACTAATTGATTTACGGAGAATTGTATTCGTATAGTTGAGGTTTCAAATTTATCAATAAATAAATTTTAAAAGGTCATAAAATGTAGATTGTCTCACAATGCGTATTATTGTTTAAAATACTTCTTTAATATCAGGGTTGCCTGGCAGTACATATGAGTTGCTCCTTATGTCATTAAATTCACAAAAATGTATTAGTTTGTAAGACATGCCGAAACAGCCAGACTGAGTTTCTTGGGTGTTCATCTCATTTGTGTTGCTGTTTTGATCACTCTGTAGAATCACGACAAACGGACAGTAAAATTATTATTATTATGTTTTTGACGAATTTAAATAATTTTTATAATCTTATAGAGAATAAAATATAATAATTTATTTTAATTTTATATGGGTTTACTTGACGGGAGAAGAAATACCGACTGCGGTTAATCTTCAAGAATTTTTCATCTTTCAGCAGACCTGATTATGATGGCATTACTTGTTCTATTTCAGTAAGAATCGTTTTGAATGTATCAACTTCTTTATTACACTTAGGTAGTTATTGGTTTTATCTTACTCGAGTTTATGGATACGTAATCTATTTTATACTTACTTGGCTGAGGTGAATGTTTTTTATTGGACATGTCTTCATCGGGGCAGGGCTATCGAAGATGCATCCTGCTAAATTTTGGATTCTCTTCTCGCGGAGAAGATGGGTGCCACTGTAAATCAAAATACTATATTAACTATTTATAACGAAAATTGTTAGTATTTATTTTTTGATATCACAATATAAGAGTAGAGGATAGGAAAGCACGAAGTTCACTTAATGGAATAACCCAGCAATATAAAAATTTAATACGGTGACTTATTTTGATTTGGTATACTTAGATATTTTAGAGTTACTTATTGTTTTGTAACATCGCCTTTAAGCATCTTTTAAAAATCTATACATTATACAAATTATAAACCTAAAAAAGTAGGCAGATCTTTCACGAACAGTGAAAACTATGCCACAATATTATTAATGTGTTAGTGATATCATTTATAATGAACATCATTTTGCCTATGGAATTCTTGTTGTTGTATTGTTATACACTTTATTAACAACACTACAAAATCTGGAGCATTGTACTCGTTTCGATTATTACAATTTTATGTATTTTTAAGAAATATACTAATGTTACTAAACTATTTGAAATACTTTAAAGAAAAGAGAAACTGCGGTAAAATTACAAAGAAAAACGCCCGGTGCAGGTTAATTAAAAGCGACTTGAAACTAATTAAAAATAGTGTAACCGTTAATTATAGGAAAGCACTCGTTGAACGTCAACAAAATATAATTGTATTTTTTAATTCACTTCGTCACGAATGACTCAAGGGAATGGCGTGGCCTTAGAATCAAACCGCTTTGGGTAAAACCTTTTCGAATTAATTATCCTTTGTCGCGTTTGCTGTTGTCATATTAAAATTCCTAAGACATTTTATATTTGACTTATATTACATAACCGGATAAGAGAACCTGTAATAAATCGAATGATTCTTGCTATTAAATTTATGAAAACACTTGAATGATTTAAATCTTTATTTTTATGGTAGAGGAGAACTGACAAGTATGGGATTCAATTATGATAGCTGACATACGCCAGCCACATAACATCTAAACAACACGCGCTGTCGACCTATTTTGGTTCTAGATATTCGGTTCGATTATTAAATGTCTATAACGTTAATAGACAAGGAAATTAGCAATAATTTGAATTCAATAAATAAACAATGACTTCATGTTTAAATGAGACACGAAGAAAAATTTCAACATAAACGAGTTTAAAAATGCTAATTTTCACTCCTTAGGAGTTAAAAAAAATACTTTATGCTATATATAATGTATTCGAAAAAGAAATGCAAGTTTGAGTATCAACTGAGACAGCGCAGGAAGTAAAATTAAAATTACTTAAAAGATTTTTCAGTAATTGAGTGAATAAAGTATATTGTTTGGATATTTGTTTAGTTTCTTATATTACAGTAACTGAATGTAAAACAACCACATATACCTAACTGCGGTGTGCTGCATTCTCATCTACCCAATAACAGTTTAAACTTTTTGTGATTATAAAAAAAATCGACGCCACACGCGGGACTCGAACCGGCATACTCAGCTGGTGCTGCTCACGTGCTGGTCACGTAACTCGTGGCATTTTTTTGTCATCTAATTAGATTTTTAATTAATATAATGCTACCATATTCAATAATATGTGCAAAAGAAAGTTTTAAAATAATAACAAAGCGATGTAGTAAGTGTTTTTGATTTAATAATAATGACTATATTACTAGAAGCCAGCAGTGAAAGTAGGTTTACGGACACTTAACCTCTTTATATGGTAAAGCAAAGCTTAATAGGCTGAACTGAGCCACATTTAACGGACATTCCACTCTACTATTTGCACCAAAAATCTATTAATTGGGTTGAATTTAAACTTTACTGTGCGTTTGAATTTTATCTGCAATCTTGTACTGTTTCCACTGAACGCCACATATATTAGTAGTGTTAAAATGGATTGAGTTCTAAATATAAAACTATTACTGTATATTATTACTTACTTACTGAGAAAACATAAGATGAAATACATAAAGATGATAAGGTGCGTTTAGAGTTTACAATTGTTAAAAAATAGCCGTTATTTAATTGCAAAAAAATTGTGCACTTATCGCAGCCAATCTATGTTGTAAGTGCTACTTTGCAGCAACACTCTCACCTCACATCACTCCTACTCTAACTCCCACTCCCTCTCCTATTCCCAAAAAGCCAAAGAAGAAAGTTTCATTATTCTAGCTTCAAAAACCACGAATTTCCATACAAATTTTCATCCCCCCTTTTAACCCTTTTTGCAAAAAATAGTAGTCTTTGTCTTTTCTCAAGGTCTAGACCATCTGTGTATCAAATTTCATTCAAAACCGTAGTTTTGGCGTGAAAGAGTAACAGACAAACAGACAGACAGAGTTACTTTTGCATTTATGATATTAGTAAGGATTATCTATTTTTAGTTTTTTAAAAATAACTTTCTTATTATTAATTTTGAGTGTCTATGTACTATGTACTTTAATAAATACTATATTAATCGATATACTAAGAACTTATGGCTTAACAACATAATATTAAGTGAATAATTATGTATGTTGTAATACGAAATGCGTGTCAGCTTACATCATATACTTGTAACATTTACACCCCGTGGCTTGAGCTCTTAATAGTAAATTATATCTATACCGAATAAAACGCGTCTATGTTATTATTGAATTTTCAAGCTTGATTTCTTAGTAGTATTACAAGACAATTTTAACGGTTTGAAACGCGAATATATCAGTTAACTTTTTTAAATTTTATTTAACATTACTCGCATTTTAAATAATTAAAATGTGTACTATTCGAACATTTATATCACATCTTATTTCAATAAGATAGGCCTTGGACGTTCGGAAATCGACTGACACATGATCGCAGATTTACTTCACGGAGTTCCATTGTTTGTCGCATTCGGTCCACAGATAAACTATTGAATTCGCGAACCGTTGACTGCCATACAGCGCTACTCTTGAACCGGCAACGTTTATTATTTTGTATTTTCCTTAGTACAAAATACATTTGGTGTTTTAATTAAAGCTTTGTTGAAATTGTAACGTCAGAACTAGGTAGCGCTAAATGTATTGCGTGTGAACGAGCACCACAAAATTCTTGTCAACTTTGCAACAGCGTCACATAAATATTCCAGTCACGAAACGGAGAACAATGAAATACGACTTCTAGGAACTTATTGCTTTGAGTTGACGAACTGCGGTGAGCAACGTGGAATAGATTTTATTCTTGTAATATGTTTCTCGTAATAATCAGTTCCTGAATTTATTATGTGTGTAAAAGAAGTAAAAATGAAATAGTTAAATTTTCAGTTATACATTATCTATACAACTTCTCTGCAAGGAGGAAACGGGGTAATGGGGTCAATGGGTGAAATGGTCTGCTGATGGTGTGGACTGATCTCCCGGCCTTATACAAGTACCCCGATAGAAAATAATAATGAATATGATTTTTCTTTAGATTACCTAAATACATATCCGCAACAATATTTGTCTATCTTTTGAGAAAAACTTGCAAGACACGACGATGTCGTGCTGCACGCTTTACATTTATAGAGACGAACAGGAGATTTGCAAAAACAAATTTTGATGCCATATTCTACGCGGACGAAGGACCCAGCTAGTCTTTTATACATATGGGTTGACAAAAACCTGTTTGTCTTAGAACTCACTTTGTCGCATCGTGTTGCCTACCCACCTGTTAGCTCGCAAGGTGATGGGTGGAAGTCGAACCAACTATAGAAACCACTTTCGTAATGTATATTTCTATACTTGGTTCAAGTTTACTTGAGCCACTCTAAATAATTTATTTCTCATGTATCGCTGAAAGGTTTTATTAGTGTTTATTCAATACGTTTGCAGATACACACAATATCACAACCGAACAGATTGGCGCTTGGAATATAGATCAACATATCACTGTTAATCTTTAGCGCCTGAAAAGAAATGAGTTGACCCGACAAGAATAACCGGTCTGTATTGATGTGTTTGACGCATTGCATTAAGCAAGACAGTTCCTGGATTCGAATCCTGGGGTTAATTTAAATTATTTTTGGTCGGGCACGGCGCAGAAGTCTGATAATGCTTGCCTGTAAATAGGACAAATAATTTATTTTTAAAATCTTTTGTCTTTTATGTTTTATTATTTATTTGTACACATATATATATATATGTATACATATACAGATTTGTTTTCGGTAAGACTCTCTTATGTTATATTATGTTTCCGAAATGTGAAAATATTAGACCTTAATAATTGTCAACAGTTTTCGAAGAACTTAGTATAGTTCCATTTAGTTTATTCATTTCAGCGTTTTAACAACGGACAAGACACGTATGAAAAAAAATTAGTAAATCATCGTTGACATTATTGCGTGTAGTTTACGGATTTAATTAAGGTCACGGAAGGTAAAAATAGTCGAATGAATGTTAGAAAATCGTAGGACCAGAGTTTTCATTCATACTTTGATCCTGACTTAGACAAGAAAGGTACATTATTGCCTAGGTTTGAGACCTAGGCAATAAAGTACCTTTAATACAGTCATCAAATCCTTAATTAATAATAAAATATTAAACCATTAAGCGGCGTAACACTTATCAGTTACAACACTCTCTTATCACATTTTATTGTACAAATTAAGATTAAGATAATTTACTTTTTTATTGACATTTTAATTTACAGTTCACCTTTCGTCTCCATATTTTATTAAAGCGTTAATAAAATTTTACAACGCACCAGTTAAGTAACCATAAAACACTCGATAAGCATTTATTTTACGCGTTTGACATGTAACGTTATTGAAATAACAGTTTTGAATCACGCAACACAACAAAAGATAAATGTGGAACTGGGTCTTTTAATGACGTGCTTTGTGAAATGAAATAAAATAAAAATTTTCTTTGGTATGATTTATACATATATATATAAAGCTGAAGAGTTTGTTTGTTTGAACGCCAATCTCACGAAGTACTGGTTTGACTTGAAATTATTCTTGTATTAGTTAACGTCACGCTGTGACTAAAGATGAACAGAAGCGAAGGAACAGAGGGAAAGTGTGGAAAAAGCGGGGAAAATTATTCATCTTTGTGG